TTTTTACGATATCATCACTATAACTTTTCATTGACTCGCTTGTAAAAATAAGCCTTAATTATTATTATACGCAAAATAAATTTGTTTTTTTTTTTTTTTTAAATCAAAAAGATAAAATTATTTGCATTAGGCCTAGAAGACAATGATTATTTTTCGAAGAAACTATTTTGAAAATCGAATTTTTTGCAATAAAATTATGGGATAGTTGATTGCAATGTGATAAATAATAGCGTTAAATGGTTTTGCGCTAAATGTACAGGGCTAAATAATGAATTAATCCCAGGGCATGCTCCAGATGTTGAAAAACTTTTCATATGATTTCAATTCAAACCTAAACCACATAAAAGAAAATTCATAGGTGCTGCTATAATGAATATTCAGGCAAAATATTCAATTAATTCATGATGTATTGAAATTACATTGAATTTTGTCTTTGAAAAAGTTCACAGGAAGGCGATCTTCCCAATTAGAATTTATTTTTGAACAGTTTCAATTGTTGAATATAATAAATGGAAAGTTATAGGTAAGAGTTTTGTTAAGCGCCTATTATGAAAGTTAGATTAGGTTAGGGATGACTCAGCAACCGCGAAAGGTAAGCCAGATAGAACCGTTATGATGCTGTTGGATTCACAAAATTCCCCGCACTTACAACAGAATCAGCCTGAGCTTTTCTTGTGAGGCCAGCGAAGGTTACTATGACATTTGAATTTCCATTTATATTTTTTATATGAAATCTTGCAAACAATTTTAAAGCTTTTTGATTTAGCAAACTTTTTTTTACATTTAGTTGATTATTTTTTATAGTTTTTTTTTACTATTAATTTATTTTATTTTATTAAAGGTTCCAGTGTTTTTATAGTTTTATAAAAAATATTTTTTTATTGCGTACATTAATAATGAAAATATTTTTATTTTCACAAACACATACATAAATTCCATATAGATCAGCCTTTGTTTCTTTGATTTTTGTATATTTTTTATATAGTATTTATTTTTGTAGTATATTTTGTAAAAAAAAAAAAAAAACACAAAAAAAAATAACTATACTAGTATTATTTCCTCTATATAGTACTATCACTATAATATATATACGAATATATTTATATTTATATATATTTATATATATATATATATATATATATATATATATAAATATATAATTACTAATATCTATATTATTGTATAACAAGTTAAAAAAGAGCAACACCAATATGTTCGGAAATGCATTGCTGATTTTTCTATACGAAGAAGACCGCAATAATGTAGTAAAAATTGCAATTATTATCAGAAACACAAACCATTTCATACTATATCTCGCATTCTGAGAATAACACTGTTGCGATATTTCTTCTTTTCTTATTTTCGAGTAAATTAAGTTATATACAATTTTGTAGTTTGTGAATTTTTAAATAGAAACTTTTATAAAATTTATAACATATCTTTTAAATGAACATAAGTAAGAAATTGTAACTTTTTCAAAATATTTGATTAAAATTTTATATTTTTCTTTTTTTGTTTTGTAGATCGAAATGTCTATGATGCATTTCTAATAAACCATATTCGAAGTACTTGAATGTTTTATTTCAACTTATATACAAACTAGAGAAAAAGTGTATACAAATTATCATACTCATTTCAAAATTGTATAGTATAATACGGTATTAATACATAATTTTAATTTATGTGTGTAATCGATAATGTCAAATGCCAGTCGACAACAATAATAGCATCCGACGGTCACTACCAACAGCAACTTACAAATTGTGCTAAAACATTTTTTATTATAGTAAATACTAAAAAGCTGATATACTGTCGTACGTATTAAGATTAATTTTAATAGTATGGAATAACTGTAAATGATAGTGCGATATTTATCATCGAAATTTCAAAAACTTTATTAGAGACAGGAATCATTTGTATAAAATTGGTTAGTGTTTTGTAATAATAATATTTAGTTTGAACGGCAAATTATTACCATTTAAATTCTTGCTACCACTTTGTTGTACTTCAGTCATTAGATTTTTAGAATTTAGCCTTATTGCAGCTTATTATAGCATTGCTTAATTTTTTAATTTTCTTAAACAATTACTAAATTCCGAATACTTGCTCTTTTATTTTTATCTAGTTTTAATGTGTTTAATTTTTTAATATTTTTAATATCCTATATTTAATATTACAGTTATTCATTAAATTTCCTGTTACTATTATTATTATTATAAATATATTGTTTGTGTATTTTATTTAAAAAAAAAAATTAAAATTCTTCACATTCATTTTAATTTTTGTTATATTGATCTTCCCTAAATAATTATATGTATACAAATAATTTAATATGTGCTTTAGTTACGTAAAAAAAAAACAAACAAACAAAAACACCTATATATACATATATCTACAGTATACGTTCACATATATTTATATAGTTAATATACATATATCACTCACACGTCTATTATTATAATGTATATAATAAAAATAATTAAATAAATAAAAATATGCAAAATAGAAAGTGAACTACCCTGCCTTCAAAATTCCTGTGTATTACGATAATTATATACAGTTCAGCTTATATAATTAAGTATATACAGTATTGCTGCAATTTTGAAATCCAATTGTATTAAACACTATTCAGCCTATTGTTTTTATTATACTGAATTGTACAAAAATATCAACAATATTATCCTTTACTTTGACACTTCAAAATAGTACTGCATTTGTAATTGTTGAATTGTATATTAATATCGTATTAGTAGAATCTTGAAATCAGGGTATCATTTTAATTCATTAAGTTCTATTTTAATATATTATGTAACTTTTCTATAAATAATTAAATATTAGAACATTTAAACATCATACTTCAAAAATTTATAAAAAAAAATGCAATCCTGAAATCATAGAATAATAATCGGCGAAAGTAACTTTTCAGAAAAATCAAGAAAATATGAATTTACTAACTTAAAAGTCAGTATATTGAAATTGGAAAGACATTTCATGTGATTAAATATACTATATTAATTTCTAATTTTGCTATAGAAAGTAACTACAAAATAATTTAATCAAATGTGACATAAATAATGTTCAATGTCAATTTTCATGTCATTTGTGACATAAATATTATATATAAGTTTAAAAAGTGACATGGATATGACAAAAGATTATGTAAATCAAATTAATTATTATTTAAACTTAATCCTCTTCCCAATATAACGAGTCTAATCTTTGAATGTAAAAAATTAATATTCTCGATTTGTAACTGTTAATTCTGCTTTTTGTATTCAAGTAATTATAAATTAGAACATTTTTTTTTGTTATTCCATAAAAAATAATAAAAAAAAAATTATTAATTACATATTGAAAAAATATAATTTATGTAAATATTTTTGAATTTATCACATACATACATACATACATATATCCTAACTTTATATAAATAATAATATATAAAAAATATTTACGAGTATATACTTGAAAACTTTTGCATATATTACTTGCGATTTCGATCTCATATACAGTCAGTCAACTCTAAAACTTCTAAAGATGCGCTGATGTTAATTGAAATTAATAAAAAAACAGAAGTTATTATAAACACGAACCGTACAAGTGTTAAAAATAATTGGTTTGTGTCTATAAATTTCTCTTTTTTGTTTTAAATTCTCTTAAAAGCGTCTTAAGTTTTAATTTTTTTTACAATGTGAGCGCTTTAATTATATTAATATCGAAATATGATTGTAATATAGAAACGGCATACTCCTAAAGGGGTGATACTTAATAGTTTTGATAAAACAAGGTTTTGTTTTCGTTTCAACTTTTTAAGATATACAATAAAAAATATCATATAAGAACCACATAAATATAGATCATTGAATGTAGGCATTGATTATTTGAAAGTTGATCAAACAATTGACAATAGGTCAATTGAATAGGTCAATTGACAATCGAACTGTTATTGGTATTATTATGAGCTCTTTTTTTTGTTTTATTTTTTAAATTTTTTCTTCAAGTTATCGTAAATTCTTTTTTATATATTTCCTATTACATTTTTGTTTAGATTTTAATAAAACCATAATATAATATATTATAAGTATATACAATAATAAAATATTAATTATCAAAAAGCCAATACGATTATTTTGGATTCTGAAAAAATATAATGAAAAAAAAAAATCCAGCAAGCAGTCCAACAAAATCGTAAAAGCCACAATATTAAAAATAAATTTGTTAATTGTATTCTATTAAATATTAAAATACATATATAATTATATATATATTTATATATATAATAAATAATCACACATAAATACATACAAAAACTATATATAAATTATTTAAAAGCTTATTATAGTTTTTATTTTATTTATTTAATTTTTTTCCTGTTTTTATACTACTTTTAACCCTTAAATATTTCGTTATTTATTATTAATGTATTTTTTTATATTAATTTAATTTTTCTTGAACACTGTTGTATTGCTATACAATTATTCAGCAATTAGTAAAAAATCGATTATATTTGATTGTTTTTATACATTTCGAATATCAAAATTCAAAATTTTATTATTTATTTTTACTGACAGACAGACTTACTTTTACATATACCATTTTTACACACACATTTTCAATTATGTGTTTTGTTAACAAACATAAGGTAGTTTTAATCGCAGTAAATACTGTATTTATACCCAATTGCTGTAATTCAGCTTAAAATATTATAAATGCTTAATTTTGTATATTAATTGCATCGTATTTTTTGTAGTTTTGAAGTCAGGTATATAGTCTATAGACGAGTTACTTTAAAATTGCAGTAATAAAGTATTTATACATACAATTCAGCTTGAATTCTAATTGCTGAATTATGTATTTTTACAATATTGCTGCAATTTTTGTTAAATATTTAAGAGTTAAAGTTAACACCGTAAATCATTAAATACACTTATACATATACATATAAATCATTAAAATTTTTTTTTGTTATTTGGTTTTTTTTATATTATAAAATTGCAAACCTGTTATAGCAATTTTAGCCGACCATTTGCTTGTTCCATCCAAAACACTTTGTTTAACTGCTTTCATATGACCTGTATGACTTTTGTCTTCGACACCGAACACAGCTCTTAATTTATATTTTTAATTTATATTTATTTATTTATTTTTCTCTTGACATCAATAATTAATAATTTTTTAAAATTAAAAAAAAAATAATTATAATAATAAATAATTCTATAATATTGCATTTTTAAATGGCGTTATTTCTCCAATTTGTCGCAACAAAAGTGACTATATGGGAATAAATGAAACTGACTTTTGAGAAAAAATGAGAATTAAAATTTAATACTCGCGTGTTTCTGGTAAAGGTTTGAAAGAGTGAAATAATAACAGTAATACACGAAGTGAATTAAGTAACTTTAACCCCTTAAAACATAATTGTTGTTTTGTTATTGGATTACAGTTACTGAATTGTGTAGTCACATCAGTTCTATTACAGTTTTGAAGTATATATCGTATATTTGTCAAATTTTGCAGGTAAGTCTAATAACATTTTTAATTAAAGTTAAATTTTGCGTTTTTTTTTATTCTTCTAAGAACTTAGAATTATACTGTTATAAAAACCTAACTGTTATAAAAATATGATTTTTTTTCTTATATTTTCGCAATTTAATTAATTTTTTTATTTATGTTTTTATTTATTTATTTTTCCTTTTTTTATATATTATTGATTGAGTTGATTATTTAAAATATATTTTTTTTGTTTTTAAATATTCAATTTTATTTTAGATTTAATAATAAATTTTATAAACCTATTTATTATATATATATATATATATATATAAGCATTACATATAATATATATAAGTATATAGTAGACAGAAAGAAATATAGAGAGAGAGAAAGAGAAAGAGAGAGAGAGAGAGAGAGAGCGAGAGATAGAAATAGAGAGAAAGACATTTACACACAATAAAAATGACAGATAAACGAAGAAATAGCGAATGAAAGAGTATTAAAGATAGAGTAAATGCTCAAGTGAGAATGAAGAGAGATAGATAATATAGCAGAAACAAAAAGAGAAACAAAAATAGATGAATAAATATTTTTAACAGTGAAAGTTAATGTTTTTGAGAGAACAAAAAAAAAACAATACTCGAAAAAACAAAAAAAAAAATTTTTTTTAGAAAAATTGAAAAGAAGAAGGTATATGAAGCATTTGTACTAAATTGCATATTCTATAGGCGCAAATAAGATATTTTCAAGAGAAGATTATATTTTAATAAAAACAACAAAAAAAATGTTAGCCAGAGAAGTTTTTTTAGCAAATTATTAGAGATAAAATATTTGTAAATATGGTTTGGTAAATATTGGTTGGGTGGATTCTGGGTGAAGGGATATAAATATTACTATTATTTGGGATTCAAAAAAAGATGTTTGATTTAGTTTAAAATCGAATAATCGAATATTTTGTGCTGTTTTTCATAAATATTTTGCATTTTAATGTTATTTTAAAAATGAAATATAGCAACAAGGTAACTGAAATTTAAAAAAAAAATTTAAAATACAAAATGATCATTTTTAATTTATTTTTATAATTAGATTATTAATAAGTAACCAAGAAGTATTACGTATATGCAGCATTTTGTAAGCTTTGTATTTTCAAAATGCTCTTTTCTCTTTGCGTTACATCTCAAGAAAATTTTTGATGTTTTTTGTAAACTTTTGACGATAAGTACATTACCGGGTGTTAGTTACAATTCGAGCTAGCAATTAAGTATGTTGATTACTAGAATTTTGGAGTAATACACAAGTAGTATACACATCATGTGAATAACTCAAATAATTAATGTTAAATTTATATAACTTTTAATTATGCCTGTATAATATACCATAACCCAGATTTCAGTAAAATTTTATTAAAATTTAAAATTGAATTTTATATTTAATATACAATTTGGCTTAAAAGTCATAATTGCTGAATTGTGTGTTTATAAGCCTTTACTTCAAAACTATGGAATAATACTAAAATTCTGACCGCATTCAGCACATATGACTTATAAGCTGAATTATTTTGTATTTTTTTCGATTTTAAATTCATAGAGAATATCTGCGCTAATTTTTGCTTACATATTATATTTAATGATCATTTTGTTCTTTAAATTACTTCTTATATACATATATGTGAAAATGATTTATAATGTAGATTAATTTGTGTAAGCTTCCATAAAAAGAAGGAGGAATAATTTCTCTTTGAATATATTTTGAAGAATTTTATTGGAATATATGTATGTATATGGGACTGCGTATGAAACAACAACAACAAAAAATAGGTTATAATTATAATCGGGTTGAAATTTGGTAACCATTTTGTATTTGTTTCCATTTTTTTTATTTATGGTAAAACTCTCCTTAATTATTATAAAAATTTTTATTTTTTTCTTTTAATATTGCTATTATTGAAAGAAATTTTTAAATATAAATTCTTTTCTTTTTTTTTAATTTCTTATTTATTTATTTGTGTTTTATTGTAATATATCAATTTTGTATTAATAAAACAGTTGGACCAACTACGTAAGTTTTATAAAAGTGTTGGATAACTAAAATACTCGTACAGATTTCAAGTTCAATATTATTAAAATATCAACTCAATAAATTCAGTGATTGCTGAATAAATTAAATATTGGTATTAGATCTACAATTCTAGTATGTACAGATCCCTTATAATGTTATTGCAATAAGAAAACAATTTTACTTATTATGAAAAAGAGAAATTAATATTTAGGCACATCATAGTGGCGATGAAATAACTTAATTTTTATTACTGACCTGTCTCTAATTGTTTTTTTAGTTTACCTAATATTTTACTACCACGGTAAAATTAAAATTTTTTATCTTAAAATATCTCTTCCGTTCTAATTTTTCTTTTTGTAGTCCATTAGCTGTCATCGAAAATAAAGAGTTAAATTTATTATAACAATGGAACTAAGTTAATTAAAGAAGGAAAAGTGAATACGGTCCAACTGTATATATTAAAAAAGAATATTTGAAGAATGTCATAAAAAAGACAAAATTTTATTTTTATTGTAAATTATAAAAAAAAAGAAAATAAATTTTTTTTTACCTTATTAATTCGAAAATTTCTGGCTTCTCTCTTTCTCTTTGTTTCATGCGCTCTTTCATTGCTGTTATTATTGAATTTGCTTTATCTTCGGCACCATGTTTTGAACTTTTCTCCGCAGCTCCTATTTAAATATTAAAAAAAAATTATAAACAATTTAATATAGAAGAAAATGAAATGTAATTGTCAAATATTAAACATATTACGCGCTCTTTTATAATAACAGAAGAAAATGTCAATTCAAAGAACATATGTTTAAATATGTGACCAATTAATAATTTACATATATACTTACTTTGTAAGCAATCCGCATTTAATAGATCTTTACATTTTTCATGGCATTTGACACCGCATTCCGTACAACGAACCCCTTGTCTTGCAATACCCCACAAAAGACCTTCACATTCATAGCAATATGTTGGTGAAGTTGCGGTCCACAGGACAAAATTATGAGGTGTTGTTGATGAAATCGGATATATCAATGCCTGTAACGCTTTTTTGTAGACGTGCATTTTCTTTTTTTATGAGTGAAGATAAGAAAATTTGAAAAAAAAATATAATAATTGTAAGTTTGAGTATAATTCTAAGTAAACTAACCAATTCTTCATCGTTCAATGTTGCTCTTGGTACTGCCGATGTTAGACCAGCATTACGCTTTGTTGCAGCCATTGTCTTCATTAATAATTTTTCATCAACAACAATATTATAATTTGTTATACAACAATGTTTTGTTTCGTTTTGTATTGTTTCGAATTATTAATTGTTATGCACGGATAATAATTGTTAATTTTAGTTGTGTTTAGTATGTTTTGTGGTTCGTTGTACGTGTTTTAAATAATTTGATTTGATTTTTTTTTTGCAATAATAATTTATTTAAAATTTTAATAAAAAAAAATATAGAAAAATAAAAATAAAAAAAAACAAAGTAGAAATATGAAAAAAAGAAAAGAAATTTTCTTTTAGAATTTTTTTTTTATATAAATTAATTTTTTCGTAACTTTTTAATTAATTACTATCTAATTGTTTTTTTTTTCTATAATTTAAAATTGACTAATATTTATATAAGAAGATAATGAAAATAAAAAAAATATTAAATTTTCTAGTATACATATATAAATGAAATTTTTGTACATATATAATTTGGTAAAATAAAAAATTAAAATATTTTTGATTGCTCGAAATTAAATTGTTTGAATAAAATAAGTATTTATATATAAAATTCTGTGACAATAAAAGCAAAACAACCTTACTTATAAATCAAAATTTCATAATTTTATTACTAAGTAATTGTATCTATAAAATTGACATTTGACGTGCAAATATATACACTTGTCAGTCCTAATAAAAATGAACAAGTCAAGAACACATCGAAACTTATGAAACTCGTAAGTTTTGACATACCACGACGTTTCGAACTCAATATTTTATGATAAAAATTATATTATGATGTGTTCGCAACGTATTTAAAAGATGTCTTTTACGTATCCAGAATCCAAAGACTCTGTTCTGATGAAAACTGCACTGTAAATACAATTCAGATCCATTCGGTAACACGTGAGAGAGAGAGAGAGAGAAAACTTGACATTTATACTGCAAAGTGAATACAGTTCAGCTTCAAAATCATATAGAATTGTAATGCAGAGTTAACAGTGTCAAATCAAAATAGGGCTAATAATATTAGGATGATTCTGTGCAAGATTGCTACCCCTTTCATATGCAAGATTGCTACTACTCTCCAAAAGTCTCCAAAAGTAAGGTATAATATTAAACGAGTGTAATTCGAAATAATGTTTAATTTAAAGGATCAATATATATATGTAGTAATGAAACGTCTATTTAAAAATTATTTTCTTACTGAAAGGTATTATTAGCATTTCGTATTTTAAGTTTAAAAAAAAAAACAACAAAACAAATATAGGTGCGTTTTGCCTCATTGCCACAGAAAATATTATAATAATAATATTCTAAAAAACTTCTATGCTAAAATTTTATAAGTTAATATAGAATTATTAAAAATAAAATAAAACAAAAAAAAAATTAACAAAGATGGAGCAAGTATGAGTTTATAGAATTCTTCTCTATAATATTCACCTTCATTCTGTAAGACGCTTCGCTATTCTGTAAGATTTTTCCTACAAAAGATAATTTTTTTTTTGTTTTACGATATGTTTTAATTGTATAATTTGCTAATTTACACGTGTTTTACTGCATAATAGCAAAGTTAACATATAAAATGATGTTATATTATATAACATTTCATATCACATCAAGTGAATCGTCTCACAGAATAAGGATAATATTTTCTTTCTATCTCTCCATCCCCACCACCAAAAAATTAATTAATTACAATATTAAAAACAAAAAGAAATTAATTTGTTTTTTTAACATTTGCAAATTATATAGGAATATTTTTTTTATATAAATTTATAAATTTAATTTTTAAATTTAAAAAAGCTGTTATTAATATTATATAAAAATTACTTTTAAAGTGTATATATTTATAATATAACATATATTTTTAAATATATAACAAAATTATAATGAAACCAAAAAAAACAAATGATGTCATAATTTACTATGGGAGTTTAATCTGAGAAGTGAGAAGAAATTACGATAATTCACTCTCTCTGAAGTGATATTAGTGATTTACTTTTTGTAAAAAATTTTTAAACCCAAATCTTTTGTATGAATTGGTTTTTGTTAACTATAATAAAATATCAATTTCTTTAACGATAAATATTATTATCGGACTTATTTTTGAATCGATGATTCTCAGAATAAACTGCCCCACTATAAAATTGTATTATATATAAAAACTTCGATAAACAATAATTATTAAAATTACAAATAGAATCTTGTTCTTCAATAGCTATTGTCGACGATAATTTTATACAGTATAACAGTTGGTGATATTCAATTCAAGAGGAAATATAGTGTAATATTCTCCTACAACAAAAAAAAATTATTTGATTCCTTGCACTGTTGATAATATACAATGAGCGTCTACAGCACAATGTATAGATCAGAGAGAGCGGCCATCGCCGTTTTTTGTATTTGAATGCCTTTTAAATATTCACTTACTTTCAAGTAGAAAACAAATTCGTTAAGAAATTTCTTCACCAAATTATAACTTAATTTAACGACATTTAATTTAAAAAATCAAATTATTTTAATTAAAATGAATTGTGTCAGTGATTGATATAGTCTGAAAGAGAAATTTAAATAATTGAAGCTGTCACATTTTTATAATTATTTTTGAACCATATGTCATTAAAATTACTTTGGTTAATCCTAAAATCATTACAGAAAATTACTCCGTATAGATTTTCACTATTTTAGAATTAATTTCATGTCTTACTAGTTAAAAGGTGTTATGAAAAAAATAAAGCTGTTACGCTACCTTTTTATTATTGTTTATCATCGAAATCTCGCTGGCCGACCAGTTATTAATATTTTATCATATATAATTGCATTTTATATATAATTATGATTTTTTATTATAAAAAATCAAATATTGTTTATTTTTCGTATATTGTAAATATTATTACGGAAAAAAGAAACAAATTTCAAATACATATAGTAAATTATCTGAAATCCATAGGCAAAAACCAAAAAATAATGTAGCTTTATACATGCATTACTAGATACTTGTAATCAACTTCTATAGTTTTAAGTGATTTTCATAAAAAAATTCAATCCTAATTTATTCAATGTCTCATTTCATATTAAAAACAAAAATGGTCAAATCAATGAGAATCCCATTATTTGTAGGATAGCATAGGATAAATTTTGGAGTTTTAATTTTTGGCGACAACTAATACTAAGATGGAACTTTATTTTTATTATTTTATAACGTAAACGAAGTTACTATGAAAATTAGCTTGTCAATTGTAATTGCTAAATTGTGTAATAATATACTAATTGTAATATTTCTGAAGTCACTTGGTATAAACAAATTTTTGGGTAATTGAAACTAGTACATCTGCTTTTTATATAGAATTGTAATATGCGAGTAGTGTCAAATCAAAATAGTGTTAACAATATTAAGATTCGCAAACTCTCCAAAAGGTGATGTAATTACAAAAATACTTATTTTATAGTAAGATAAAATATTAATCGAGTGTATAGTAGAAACATTTATTTCGAAAAACCAATTTAAAATAATGGTTAATTTAAAAGATTAGTTCTGAAATTTGCTTTCTTTATATAAGAATACGGCTTTCTATAAATTTGTTTATGAAAATCACTGTATTTCTTATATCAAATTGCAATAACACTATATTTGTATACAATTCAGAAAATAGAACAGCTGAATTGTTTAGTAATACCGTGTTAGTCAAATATTTAGAATAAGTTAAATAATCCAAAAAAAAGCTAATAATGTCATGCATTATTATTGAATATATTTCAAAAATAAAATAGTAAAAACAAAAAATTCAAGTCATATAATTTATGCCTTTTAAATAGGTATAAATTAAATTCTCATTTTTCGAAATGCTGAATTGTATATATGCTTAGTAACACAAACAGGACATTACCAAAATTGGGTAGATTCTAAAACAAATAAATCCATTATATTTAGAAAACATATTTTTATCGATTTGCCTTAGAAATGGATTGCATTAACATTTATATATTATCAATATTTAAACGCGTTCTGAGTTGTTAACATATTATATACATGCAATTCAGAATATTCTGATCGATTTCGAAAAATAAGTTACTGCACAATATTATTAGAACTTAATTAAATATTAAAATGCTATATAATAAACTATGGAAAATAAATTCATTTTATTTACAAAAGAACATTGAAAATAATAAAAAAATAAATGTTAATATAATTAGGAAAAATTTTAAATTTAATTTAGTTAACAATAATAATAGAATAATATTCAAAAATATATTAAAGATCTTTTACAAATTCAAATTTATTTTATTTTGAGACAAAATTTTTTAATTTTTAAACAAAAATGTCAATTTTTAATCTGCAGTTTTATACAACTCAGCAGGTAAAACTAATATAATCTAAACGTCATTTAAAATTTACTGTGTTGATATTAAAAAAACAAACAAATAATTGTAAATTAATTTTTAATTTCTCGATAATTCAGCAATATATATGGTATTTATATATTGCTGAATTATCTATAAAAGTGGTATTTAAAATTTAATAACAATAATATTGTTATTATAATAATATTACAAATGGCGTCTACCAAAATCCAAATCTAACATCAACTTGACTCATATTAAGTAATTAAAAATGTATTGCTGAATAAGTCATGTTGACGTTAGATCTGGATTTTTATAAACGTCAATATATGGTTTTACATATATGAAATTTTTCAAAGGCACTATTTCTATTGACTATAAAAATAGTCAATAAAAAAAAAAGCAAAACAACATAAAATTGACATTTTCAATTATTATTAATCAAGTTGGTTAGCGCATAATATATTTATTTAAAATAAATAAAGATTTATTTGTAACAAAAATAAGCACATATAAAACAAAAATATTTTGTTTCAAAATAAAACAGAAATTTTTTTAAATTTCCAAAATGTTAAAAATTTTACAATACGAGTATTAATAGAAAATTCAGCAAATTAATTATTGAGATTTTGAACTCAATAAATATTTTTCAAAGAATAAATTGAATTTTGAAAATTATATAATAAAATCAGAGTTTGTCTACTACATTACAATAATTCAATAATTCTAATAATTAACAATTTCAAAATTAACATCTTACATACTAATTATGTCATCTGGACGCTCATATAAATTATTTTTTTAAAAATCTCAAATTTTTCTTTAATTTTCAATAAATTTTGATACTTAATTTCTGTTTTATTTTCTGTTTCATTCAAATAAATTTATAGCATTTTGTTTTTATTATATTGAAATTGAAAACGTAGCCATACAAACAAAAAAAAACAGTAAGAATTGAAAATTCCAATTATTCCAATATTCTTCAATTTCCGCGATACTTTCGCATATAGCCCGAATATAATCAGTTAGTTATGTAAAATAAAGTCTAGATATTAGATAAATATTAATGTTAATGAATTAAATATAAATGATTTCGTTTTATGGTATTTCACTTAGCCGTCACCACTTTTTCCGCCGATTCCGATTTATGTCCGTAAAGCGAGGTATTGATGTAATGTCATATTGTTTATAAAAGCTTTATAATGTCAAGTTTGACGTTATGCATTATTATGTGCATAATTTATTTCTTCGTCAAATTTTAACATTTTTTTCTCAATATTCTGCTAATTTTCAAATAAATATTTTGTCATAAATCGTGAGAATTAGGCCGTCTACTAATGCAGATTTAAGATTAATTTGATTTATTTAGTAATACTGTTTAATTACTGAATAAGACAATGCGACATCTGCATTTCAATAGACGCATTTATTATTTGTTACTTTTCTTCTTATATTAAAATTACGTAGAATATTGGAATATAAATTTTAATAAAATATGAAAAATAAAATATTTCCAAAATATTTTAATAAAATATTTTGGAAAATAAAAAAATTTAAAATTTTAATAAAAGCGACAAAGAATTTTATTATTAAATTAAAAAATCAAAAAAAAAAACAACAATCAAAAATTCTTGTTTTTATTAAAAATAATATTGAAAAAAAAATTAGAATTAGAATAATTTTTTATTATTGAATAGAAAAAATATAGGGAAAAAAATAAAATAGAGAAAAAGAAAAACAATTGACATAAAATATAACATATACCTTGAGCACCTGTAGGATCCACATTTCAATTTATTTTAAATATATATATATATATATATATATATATGTATGTATTTTTTTTTAATATTAGTTTAAAATATTTTCATGAAATTTATTAAATTATTAAAATATTAAAGGTATTAGTTTATTTATATACACATATACATTTAATATATATATATATATATATATGTATATATATATATATATATATATTTGTTTTATTTTATTTTTTAATTTTATTTTTTTTTATATTTGTGAAGATACGAGATAACGAGAAAGGCACACAAACAAACAAACACAAATAAATTTTATTAGTAAAAAATATAACGATATGGTTTTCATATTTAATGAATAATTATTTATATATATATATATATATAAATATATGTATTATAATATAAAAATTATTTACTCATGTTAGTTTTATATATATATTATGAATAATATTATGTATGTAAAATATACAAGAAAAGAAAAAAAAAACAAACTATATTAAGAGTTTATTAAAAAATTATAGTTCGATAAATTATGCATGATGATTTTATTCTCTGAATTCATCTTATCCAGCTTTTGTATCATCGTAATACAGTGCTGAATTTCGTAGCAAACATATCGTTCATATATTCATATATGCAACAAGTGCATTGTATAATATATAAAGTTATCGTAATTAAGTTTATCGTAAATTTCAAATATTAAAATTCTTCATATTTTGTTTATTTATAAAAAATTTCGCTGAATGAAATAATTAAATAATTCCGATGAATAAATACAATTGACTGAATAATGCCAGATTTTCTTAATAATTTTATAGATTTTATAGTAATTAAATTATTCAACTGAATAAATAAGAATTGCTGGATTGTGTCATTTTTTATAATAGAAATAAAATAGAAATTTGCATATTATTTCAATGGAAATTTCAATAATAATTAAATAATTCAGCGAATTAAACAATTACGATTATTATTCTGAGAAAACTCATTGAAAATTTTTAACATGTATATAGATTCATACAAAACCACAGTACAACATTACAAAATTACAGTAATATTGTATTAAAAAATCAAATTGAGAAATTTAAAATATAAAAAAATGAAATTTTAATAACATCTTTAGAATATACAAATTTCCGTCAAATTTTAGCAATTATTTATGTTATTGTAATACAAAAATGAAAATTTTAGTTAATAAAAATGATTTTGTGAGTTTTTTGATTACAAAAAAAAATTAATTAAATAAAATTAAACTTGACCAAATTAAACAATTTTACTCAAAAACAAAAAAAAATCTTTTTATTTCTGAAAATGCAGTTCTTAAGGTCGGAACTGCATTTAATTTGTACTCTAAATGTACGAGCAATTTTGAAATTGTTTTGAAAACTTTGCAGGTCTAGCCTGCATAGAAGAACTGCATTTTCAAAAATATCCAAACTTTGCGGTTTGCGGGACAAGTAACTGCTGAATAGAATGCGAAAGAACTTTTTTTTCTTTTATTTAAAATTAATCAAATATCTTTTATCAAATTAATATGCAGTTATTGTAGCAAGCGTTAGGTTATAAAAAAAATATTCAAAATAAGCTTATTAAAGTAAGTAAGCCTATCAAAAAGGATTTTTATTTTATTACAAATTTATTGGAATCCCAAATAATTATGTTAGAAAGTAATAATAAACGTAAATATATAATATAAATAGGTATATAACGTATTTATAAAAATATTCAATATGTGATATTCTAAATTTATCCCGTCAACATAATGTACATACAGAATGATACATTAAAGAGCACAATATTTTATAATATCGTTTAGGTTTAGAGAACTAGGTGTCAAACCTCAACGGTTTCTGAGATACTGAAATTTTAAGGGATTTTCATAAAATTTCTTCTTGGCCAAGTTTTTCTGCTCATGTTCCGAAAAATGAAGAGAGGCTTCAAACAAACAATTTAACATAAGTATAAACTAAATTATAAAGCAAATACAGTATTATCACATTTCTAAAGGAAGGGGCGGTGGGGTGCGTTGAAATTTTGAGAATTTTTATCTCAATTTCGTGATAAACTGAAATTTTGTGAAAACTGTTAAAATCCCTGTGTATCTCGAAAACCGTTGAGATTTGACACATATAGTTCTCTGAAGAAAATTTTCTCATATTAAGCTCTAAGCCAAAAATATGGTATATGTGTCATGGCATTTATTACTTAATCACAGTACATACGGCATTTGTGTAAGGGAATTTAGATGCTAGTCAGCTATATTGAATATAAAATAAGCTATGTAAAACATAATTAATGTTTTTTTTTTCTTTATTTTACATATCAAAGAAAATAAAGGAATATTAAAAGCAATTAATTTTTAATTTTTTATTTGAAGAATCGCGATAAATCATTCGATATGAATTATGAATATACAAGGATAATAGTCTGAGAGAGAGAGAGAAAGAGAGCAGCTTTTATCAATATTTTGTAAAATAATAAAAAAAAAAACTTCAATATATTCAAATATTCAAAGGTTTTTACTCTCTCGCCTCTTTTTCAGTAATATATAAACATACGCTCATTAATAAAAAAAAAATTAATAAATAAAATAATTAATTCAAAAAAAAAAAAATTAAATAATAATTAAAACAAGAACAAAAAACTAAATAAAACATAATTTCTATGTTTCTCTGATTTTGTTATACCTGCATTGTAATACATATATATAAGTTTGTTTTACATATTATATAAAAATAAATATTGTAAATAAATTTAGACACGTGTATATATAGACAGATATTATTTTTATATATATATATACATATAATATCAATGATTTTATATTTATATATATATATATATATATATATTTATATATATATATATATATATATATTTGTTTTTTGTTTTTTAAATTCTTCACTCACCAATTCTGATACCAATGGTATGGATTTTCTTCTTGGTCTAATATCAGGCATACTGTCGATATTACTATAAAATGGATTATCACCCGGATGACCATTACCACGTCCAGTACCTTCGCCAGCTCCAGAATTATTCTATATATTAATTTTCATAATTTTAAGAATTTAATTATTCATGAAAATTTTTTTTAAAATATTAATGTTTTATTTAAATTAAAAAATATTTTTTTTTATTAATATGTTAATTGGCTCTTTTCAATTTTCCCAATTTCCAATTTAAATTCTGTGACTTCAAAAATTCCACTTTCAGCATGTTTAATACTGCATTGCTTTACAATTCAACAATTATAGCTCATATACTGAATTGTGTATTAATATACCCTTATAAGCATTTACTCAAATCTTTGAAATCAGGGTTTAATTTTAAATTATTATAATTAAAAATTTTATTAAAGTTCACAATTAATATATTCAATTTTTGAATTATGTAATGCTAAGCTTTAAAAAAAAATTAACAAAATGGCTGCCTTTCAAAATGAAACGTTCTTCGTTCTCTCAATTTTTTTCTCGAACATATATATATATATGTAATATTATAAGATATAAAGCCCTCGCAATTAACTTATTAATAATAAATTAATAATAATAACATTATAAATTTTTGATAATTAATTTATTTTAATATTTTCATAATAAAAAATCATTTTAATAATTAAAATAAAAACTATATTGATCGTCATATTTATATATTTTATTAGTAATATTTGAATACAATTATAACTTCAAAATTTCATCTAATACTGAAATTATTCCATAATCCATCATATTATTTTGAAATTTTAATGTCACAAGAAAAGATGAATTTAAAGATGTAATATTTTAATATAAAAAATTTTATTTTTAATTCAATGTTGATGTTTTAGCACAATTCGTCGTTACCGTTGTGTCTCCCTGCTGAACGGAAATCTTTTCTAATCTCAATTTAATTTAAATAATATAAATACATAAAATTAAGGAGTAAGTTACACTTTATATGCACAATATACAATTCCTAAAAACATATTTATATTTTTTCGCACAGTACCTATAAGTTAAATTAAAAAAAAAATCATTAGGAATTTGTACTCTATAACAAATTCTACTATTTATACTTTTATCTGTATGATATAGATGAAGAAATATTTTTATTTTAGCGCATTTACAATAGTCTAGTACAGTGACGTATATGTTTGTTTACTATAGACCCACATATTTTGATTTATATGGGTCAATTTTGGCTATAACACAAAGATATGTAAAAAATGTTCAAAATATTGTAAAAACAAAATCAAAAATTCTTTACTGCAAGTTTGCATTAATATATACGGTGTTAATATAAAATTCAGCTTATAAATTATAATTGCTGAATTGTGCATAGAAAAATATAATATTACTTTGCAATTATGAAGGTGTGCAATATACTTAACCAAAAACTCTCTTTAAATATTAACTGCGCAAGCATACATGTATATATTTTGCATAGCATTTTTCGAACTTTCTCTATAAACTGCTTTAGGTACGTGCGATTATCTCTTTCGTATTCTTTTAACATTTATTACGAACGACATTTATAATTATTCATGTACTCTATTATGAATACATATTTGGACTCAGAATTTCAGTAAATCAGAATTGACAATATGAAATTCGTAATTTTTCGAATTTTAGGGCTACGAACGGATAATAAGGTTGGTAATAAAATATGTTTCTTAAGTTTCATATAACGTAGTAATACTGCGAATTCAAATTTAAAGGAAATGTTCGAATTCAATGATTGAAGTATGCAATTTATTTCTAAACTAACTGAAAGTTAAAAAGCGTATTGCTATATTCAATATTGAAATTTAAGTATATGATTAATAAAAATTTTAAAGAATTTTTTGTCATCATTATTTTTCATTCAACAAATTACCGAATTTTCTTCATTACTTTCAAGTGATGAATTAATCATCATCAAGAAAAACAAGTTATTTTTAAACACGAAGTTATTAAAGGAATTTAGAATTTTTTTTTTATGTTTTAAAACACTCAAAAATTCAATTAATTTTTCTTTCTTAAAATTTTTAGTACACGTTCTTTATACACTTAAACTTTTATTTTAATTTTTTTTTTGTTTGATTTGTTCGTGTTTGAATGCAAAATTCTTTTCTTTCTTTTGTTTTCTGAAATGTCACCTAAATGCCACCAGTCTAGCTTACTAAATGAAATTAAAACTGATTAAACTGTCAAAAAACAAAACAACAGCAGACACAAACTAAAAAATTTCTTGCCTATACGCACGTAGTTCGACATTTATACAATTACGTATTTTCAAATATTTAAAATTTTTTTTATATATTAAATAAAAAAAATTATAGGGACGAATAAAAAATTGTGTAATAAACGCATAATATGAAAATTCCAGAGACATGATAAAAAAAAAAATAGAAAAACAGGAATCCTTTAGAATTTAAAATAAAAAAAAAACACCGAAATATATGCGATTATGACAATGAATTTTTTTAATACGAGTATAGAGCATGGCGGCGAAAATTAAACTAAATAAAAAAAGAAGGCTGTGGCGGTAAAAAAAAAAGGGCGGGGGGAGGGGGGGGTGGTGAATCAAAGAAATTTTGAGGATGACTACAAAAAATGTCAATATAGAAGACTGTTTAAATTTATAAAAAAAAAGTATGCACAGCTAATCTAATTCTAATAAATTCTTTGAAGATAATTTTTGTATTAATGATGATCCTACATCTTATGATTTCGAGTACAATTACGACTTTAAAGTTTAACTAAAACAAAAGCAAAAATCAAGGCAATAGTGTTGATGTGGAATAGTAGTGAAGCAATAGTGGAATAAAGTTGGTAGTCGGGTTTTTCAAGAACTAATAGCGTTATTAATAAAAATTGAGCTACCAATATGAGCTACAAGAACTTAGGGTGGAAAATTTTAATTTTATAATTTTCTTTAAGTTTAGCGTAAAGAAATAATAAAATATTAAAAATAAAAATTAAAAACAAAAATATTTAAATATGCTTTCATAATGTAAGCTGCAATTGTATATGCAAGTATTCTATTTACAAAAAATACATCTTTGAAGATCAACATCAATGATAAGATAAAAAAATATTTAAATTCCAGCTATATTATATATTAATACTTAATTCAGGAATTAGATCACTTAAGCTGAATTGTGTAGTTATATTAGAAACCTACACAATTCAGCTTTTTAACTAAGTACTTATTAAGTGATACAGCATTATTACTGAAATTGTGATGCCTTTCAAGGACAATCAAACAATTAAATATCTATATATGGTTGTTATCAAAATAATTTTGTTGTTGTCACTATTAAAGTAAAGTGAGTTAGAATCGTCTGGTTCAATAAAAATTATATTAAAATATTTGGAGAATTTAAAATTATATACGTTACAATTAGAAATATATTCGACAACCGTGTCGAGAAACATTAAAAACAAAACATACAAACTCACCTTGTCTTTTTCTTCTTCTTTAATTTTCTCTTGATTATTTTTTTCCTCAATTTTTCTCTCTTTTAATGTCTTTAATAATTTCCATTTACTGCTACCTAAAGCTCCATTTGCTGTACTATCTACACTTGATTCATGACTCAATGATTTTCCTTTCATTTTAAAAGGTACTTGTTGTTGCTGTTGTTCATCTTGTTCTTTTTGTTGTTCTTGTAAAAATTTGTCTTCATCTTCTTGTTGTTGATTTTGTTCTTCTTCACCAATTTCTTCATGAAATTTTTCTTGTTGTTGTTTTCCAAATATATTATCTTTCTGTTCATTTTGATTTTGATCTTGTTCAAATTGTGACTTTTGATATGCTGCTTCCTCTTCTAATTGCTGTTGTTGATCTAATTCGAAATTATCGTTACACTTTTGTAATTGTTGAAATTCGTTGTCAATATTTTTAATATTTTTATTTTCTTCTTCATCTTCAACAATATTTTTATGTAATTGTTGTTGGTTTTGCACCCGATGTTGTTGTTGCTCTTGTTGTGATTGTTGTTGTTGATTATTTGCAGATGTTATAAAATTTACAGCGGCTGAACCGAATATTCCACCAACGAATTCAGTAGCTTTTCTTTCAAATATATTTTTATTATCTTTTATTGGTACTTGATTTGTAGTTGATGTTGTTGTTTTTGTCGTTATTACAGTTGCTGTTGTTGTTAGTGATTGATTATTATCAGTGTTATTATCATAATTATTAGGTACAGCTGATGCAAAATTATTATTTTTAACAACAGCTGTATTACCATATACGTTTTTTGGATCATAATCTAATTGTTGTATTTTATTTGAATTTTCTTTAAATTCATTGTAATTTTCATCATCATAATCATCAATATCACTTAAATCAGCTGGTGTATCTGGACCAGATGTTGCACCAGATGATACAGATCTTTTATCATCATAATCATCATTATTTGGTTTTAAATAATTTTTATTTAATTTTTTATTATTACATTCATTATCGTCATAGTAAATGTTATCATTATCATTATTATCATCATCATCATTATCATAATTTATATTATCTTCAGTGTTATCATTTAATATTATATTATTATCAATATTTATTGTTGATGTTGTTGTTGGTAATTTATTATTTAATGTTGTTGTTAATGTTGTTGTTGTCATTATTCCTGTAGCATTTGTTGTTGATTTTATAATTTTATTATTAATATCATTTGATTTTGTATCTTTGTCATCTTCTTCTTCTGATGAATATGGTGATGTTGAATATCTTTGATCCTCTTGTTCATCATTTGCTGATAATTCACTGGTATCATTATCACTTTGTTGATGTAATTGATCATCAAAGCTTTTACGTGTTTTACGACGTTTTAATTTTTTTTGCCTTTGTTTACGATAATACTGATCTGTTTTTGATTCATTTTCTAATACATTTAATTCATTCAATATTTTAATTTCATCATCAGCACTATCTTCAACATTATTTAAGTTTAACCAATTACTTTCTGTAACTTTTGAAAATTTTTCATATACATTTTGTTGTTTAATTTTATTTCTTGATGTTGAACGTAACATTTGTTGTTGCTGTTGTTGTTGTTGTTGCCATAATAAATTTTGATTAGATTGTTGCATTTTTCTATTATCTTTATATTGTTGCTGCTGTTGTTGTTGTTGTAAAAATTGTAAATTTTGTTGCTGCTGCTGATGTTGCGGTACTGGTTTAACAACATCTTTTAACTCTTTTAATACAAATGACATTTTTTCTTTAACACTTTCATCTAATTTGTATGTGTCATCATTATCATCAATTGAATAATCAGTTAAACGATCAATTTTTGATAATAATGATTCACCATTATTAATATCATTTGTTGATATTAAATTATCATTGATATTATTACTATTATTAACCCCAACACCACTACTGCTACTACTACGATTAAATATTGATGATTCCATATGGCTACGTCTTTCAAGTTCTTCTAATTTTCTTAATTCATAACAAAAATATTCATCATCAGTATCAATTGAATCTTCAGTACTTTGACGTCTTGATGATGATACGGTTCTGTATGAATGTTGACTTCGATTATCATCATCATCACGATATGATGATGGTATATCTAAGCTTGTTTGATTTCTTTGACCACCAAATTTAAATTGTCTTGGACTATTTGATTGTAATATTGGTGTTATTGGTACTGTATTATTTATTGCTATTAATTGATTATTATCATCATAATATGTTGCATTTGTAATTGATGCTTTAGTTGATGCTGTTGACGTTGTTGATGTTGCTATTGATGTTGCTGTTTTTAATATAATATCATCATCTGATGTTATTATATTATCAACAATATTATCATCTTCAACATAAATAGAATTTGATTTTTGTAAAAAATGTCCAATTTGATGATGATGTTGATATAATTGTTTTCCATTAACTGCTGTTTTTGTTGAAGTTGTTGAAATTGTTGTAGAAATTAAATTATCATCGTTATCATATGAATCATTTAATTTAATATCTGGACATAATTGATTATCTTTTTGATGTTGATGTTGTTGCTGTAGTTGAGTGTTATCAATATTATTTTGTTCATCATAATGATGACGTATTGCATCACCAACTGTTGGAAACATTGGATTTAAAAATATATCTTCATCATTTTCATTTGTTGCTGCAGCTATTGTTGTCGTTGTTGTAGTTGTTGCAGCAATATTATTAAAATCATTAATATTTTCAAATGATGAATCTTTTTGTATTGAACTACGATCACTTGATTTACGTCTAACATGTGAATCAGATACAATACCACTTGTACATTGACTTTGTGAATCACCAGATGATGATTTACGTCTTAAAACATTTTTGCTATAATCTTCAACATATTTATCAATACATTCTTCACCACTTACATCATCAATAATATTTTGTTGTTGATAAGATTGTAGTTTATATTTTTGTTGTTGTTGTTGTTGTTGTTCCTCATTGATATTATTTTGCTTCATTTTATTAAAACTATATTGTGTAACTGCTGATAATTTTACATCATCAATGAATGCGTTATCAGTACAATCAGGATCGGTTGTTTGTAAACCAGAATCAATATCATCTGATTTAATTAATGATAATTTATCAATTTTATCAAAATGTAATATTAAATTATCATCATCATCATCATCATTAAATGATTGTCTATTCATTTGATTTCGATTTAATGATGATTTTTGTAAATTTTTTTGATTTTGTTGATGATGGTATTTCATTTTTGTAAAATTTAAATGTACACCATCTGATTTTATTGATTTTTCATATTCACTAGCACTATCATCATTATCCTCAGATGATATTATAAAATTATGTATATCAGATTCTGGTTCAGACATACTATGTTGATCACCAATCATATGATTGCCACGTGATGTAAAACTATGACGTCGATAAATTTTGGCTTTTTGTATAAATGTATTGACTGTTGTTGATAGAGATCTCTTTTTCTTTTTAGCTCCAGTTGTTAAATTCGTTGATGATGATGTTTGTTGTTGTTGTTGTTGTAATTTTTGTGATTGGTACTGCTGTTGTTGTTGACCACTTGTATAAGTATTATTACGATTTTTAATACCAGGTATTTTTGTAAAACGTTCCGTAATATCATTAAAACGATAATTATGTTTTTTATTATGAAATAATTTTGATGTACCTTTTTGTTGCTGTTGTTGTTTTTGCTTTTGTTGTTGCATTAATTGTTCTTTATATTCATAATCATCACAATCAATTTCAACTCCAGATGGTAATGATTGTGAACGATGACGCCTTGTTATACGTTTTAATTTGATATCTGGTAACCAGTTTTGTATTTTATGCAGATATTTATGTTGCTGTTGCTGCTGTTGTTGTTGTTGATGATGTATTGAAAGATTTTCTTTATTTAAATTACTATGTTGCATTTGATACATTTGCTGTTGCTGTTGTTGTAATTGTTGTTGCTGCTGTTGTAATAATTGTTGTTGTTTTTGTTGTTGTAGAAACATTTGATGTTGTTGATATGCAGTCATACCCGGTGTGATTGGTTTTGAACCATATTGCAATTGTTGATGATGATGTTGTTGTTGCTGTTGCTGTTGTTGATGTTGGTATTGTAATTGATGCTGTTTATTATAACGTAAATCAATTGGTAATGTAGATTGATAATGTAATTGATGTTGTTGTTGTTGTTGTAAATATTGTAATTTCTGTTGATAATTTAAATTGTCAGTTTGTTCATTATGATATTGATTTTTATTAACAACACTATATAGATTATTAATATGACGGCTATCAATTATATTTTTATTATAAAATTTATTTAACTGTTGTTGATATTGATATTGTTGTTGTTGTTGTTCTTTTAAATTATAATACTTATTTTCACCCATATAATCTAAATTTTTTGAACTATTATAATCTTGTAAACTACTTGATGATGGATAGTAAACTAGACGATCAGTCAAATTACGATGTTTTTGTGATAATAATTCAATATCATCAATATCAGTTTCTTCATAACCAGTATCATTTATCCGATCTGCTGTTGTATTCAAATTACTTGAATCATATTGTTTTAACTGTTGCTGTTGTAATTTACGTTTATTGTAATTATTATTTGTACGAGCGTTTAATTGTTGTTGATTTCGTTGTTGTTGTTGCTCTTGTTGTTGTTGGTAATTATATGAATTTTGACTGGATATTGATTTATTACATGGTGTTGGTGATTTCTTTAATAATTCAAATGTTACAGAGTTTAAATTGTCTTGTTGTTGATTAATTGATGTTGGAGTTATTGATAATATAGCTGTTGTTGTTATTATTGATGGTAATTCATTTGATGTTGCTGTTGTTGTTGATATTATTGAATCTGATAATGCTGTTGCATCAGTTAAACGATTATTGCATATTAAATCTGGATAATTAATATTTTCAATTTGTTGTTGTTGTTGTTGTTGCATTAGTTTTTCTTTTTCAATATCAAATATTGATTTATTCTCATATACTGAACATATTGGGACATTTCTTGACAATTCTTTAATATAATTTAAGTTTTCTTCAGTAAATACATATTCTTGTTCATTTAAACGATTATTTTGTTGATGTTGTTGTTGTTGCTGCTGTGACTGTTGTAATTGTTGTTGCGATTGATTTTGTAATTTTTGTTGTTGATTAAAAATGCTCATATCATTAATAGAATTATTTAAATTTAATAATTGTCCTGTTGTTAAATTATCATTTAAATTATTTAATGATATTGTTGAAATAAAATTATTCAATATTAATGAAGATGATGACAATGTTGTTGTTGACGATGATGCCATTGAAGTAGTAGTTTTTGATATCTTTAATTTTATTAAATCATTATCATTTTGTTGTTCTTGTTGTAATTGTTGATAAAAGGGATTACTAATATCAATTGATATTGTATTTTCATTAATATTATCATCATTTATTAAATTAATATTATCAGAATATAATTTATATTGTTGTTGTTGTTGTTGTTGTTGAAATAATAAAGATGATTGTGATTGTGAAGCTATTTCATTAATGTTATTAATATTGTATGATTGTTTATTTGGTGAATTTGGTGATTTTTCTAAACTTGAAAAACCCGACATCGATGATAAACCAGAATCGGATTTTGTTTTTTTAGGAGAACCATCAATTAATAAATTTGTTATACCAATATTACAATTATTTTGTAATAATGATGATGATGTTGCTGTTGTTGTTGATGTTGTACAAGAAGATTGTAATTTACTATTTTGTTGCTGTTTTTTATTATTTATTAATTTTTCATTCATAATCATAATATCATAATGAAATGGATTCATTGTTGATATTTTTGACAAATTATTACTATCATATAATATATTATTTGCGGGTGCTGTTGTTATATTATCATTAATATTATTATCAATAATAATATGGTCTGTTGTATCATTATCAATAATGATATTATTTAATAAGTTATGTTTTTCATTATTAATAATATTAACATTATTTAATATATTTGATTTTGATATTATTATATTATTTGATGATCCAGTTGGTATTGTTGTTGTTGTTAATTGTACAGTTGTATTTAATAAAAAATTTGAAATATCACCATTTGGTGCTGGTGGCGGTGGGCTATGTGATTCATTACTTAATATATCATCATCATTTTGACTAAATTGATTTATATCATTAATATTATATTTATTTTGATTATTTGGATTTTGTAAATGTAATAAAAATAACATTGAATTATGTCTTTCTAATGATTTTTTTAATGATTTTATATATTCATCATTATTATATAATGTACTATTATTTAATTTTGTTAAATTTTTTTTACTTATTTCATTTAACTTTGAATATGAATTTGTTAAAAATCTTTTATCATCAATATAATTATTAAAATAATAATCATTATCATCATCATTATTATCACTATTTAATTTTGTATTTATAATCATACTATTATGATGTAATATTTTATTTTTGTTAAATATATTTAATAAATTATCATCATTATTAATATCATTATTAATATTAATATCATCATTATTAAAATCTGTATCTTCAATATGTGTTTTGAAATTATTATAATTAATTGAATTATCATTATTGTATAAATAATTATAATTATTACCATAATTACTACTAATATCATTTATTGATGATGATAATGATGATGATGATATTGTTGATGTTGTTGTTGTTGTTGACGTTGACGTAATTGATGTTTTCATTATATTTAATCTTTTATATAATTCAGTCTCTTTATTATTTAATAAAAATAATTGCTCATTTGAATTACAATTATCTTTTGATAATAAATTTCTTGATGATGATGTTGCTGTTGTTGTTGGTATTGTTGAAGTACCACCAGATGATGATAATGGCATTTTATTATTTTTAATATCAATTAAATTTAGTTCACCAGTATTGTAATTTTTATACATATTAAATTCATCAGCACGTATCGGTAATTTACCTTGCTCTTGCAAATATTTTAAACGATCTAATTCCCCAGTATATTCATTTATATCAAAATCAGTTTGTTGTTGATTCTGTTGTTGAATATTTGATTTAATTTGATCTGATGCGGTTGTTGTTGTTGCTGTTGTTGTTGCTGTTAATGCTGTTGATAATGAAGATGACGTATCACTTGATATTGATTTTTGTTTATTAATATTATTATAAACATTATTATCTGTACCAATTAATTTTTTTAATATATCAATATTTTTTTCTAGTTTTTTTATTAAATTATCAAATTTAATATTATCATCATCATAATCAAAAGATGATGATTGATCATCTAGTGAATTTGTTGTTGTTGTCGTATTTGAATCGTTTGCAGCTGGATTTAACAACAATAAAATTAATTTTTTATCAATTTTTTGAATTTTCTCAAAAAATTCACATTCGTTATTAATTAATTTATGTAATTTTAATATTTGATCTGAATTTAATATTTTAAAATTATCAATTTTATTTATTTCACCAATAATAATATCAATTAATTCATCATAATTAACTGAATGTTGTTGTTGCATTTGTTGTTGATCATTATTAAAAGAATTATTAAATAAATTCGATTGTTGATTTATGTTAACTGTTGTTGATTTTATATTTTTATTTAATTGGCTTTTATCATTATTAATAGCTGACGATGACAATGATGATGATGGTAATATTGATAATGAAGATGATGATGTTGATGTTATAATATCAGGTGATGTAAATGATGTTGAAGCAGCTAATGCTGTTTTAAAATTATTTAACATATCCATTTCATTTTTATGATGTTTTTTCTTTTTTAATTTTTTATTACCATCTTTTGTTGATCTTATTGCAGTTGTCGATGATGTAGTTGTCGTAGTTGTTACTGTTGTTGTTGTTGATATTGTTGCTGTAACATTTGTCGTTGTACTATTATTATCAAAATTATCTTTAATACTCGTTGTTTTGATTACAGGTGATAAATTTTCATTTGCTGTTGTCATTTTATCATTAATTTTTGAGTCTTTGATATTATTCGATGATATTGATGATAATGAAGTCGTTGGCATTGTGATTGATGATGATGTTGATTTTAATTTTTCTTGTTTCTGTTGTTGTTGATGATAATTTTTATCTATATCATTTTCTAGTAGTGATTCATCAACTTCATATGATGAACTAATATGTTCGATTTCTTGTTCTTCATTATCCTCATAAATCATACCCAATTGTGATACTGGCCTTGATAATATTATATTATTTGATTGTACTAATTCCATTAAATACTGTTGTTGTTGTTGCTGTTGTTGTATGTCGTTAATATTATTTGTATTATTTTGTTGTAATTGTTGTTCACGATATGCTTGATTTAAGGTTTTATAAAATTCTTCAGTTGGTTCATTATTATCACTTGCTGTTTCATTAATATTATTTAAAAAATTTTCTTTTAATATTAAATTCTTTATTAAATCATTATTATTTTGACTATTATCAATATCAATTATTTCTTTATTATTATCAGATAATGTTAATATTGATGATTTCGTTGATTGACGAAAAAACTCTAACATTTGATTTTGTTGTAATAAATTTAATAAAGCATTTCTATGTTCATTTGAACTTTCTAAATTTTGTTGATGTTGTTGTGATAATTGTTCAATTAATAATTTACTATTGTCAATTATATTAATATTGTTATCATTTAAATTACTAATGATATTATTATCATTATTTTCATTATTATTTATTATTCTTTTATTACTAAATATATCCCGATTTATTTCGCCACTCCGAAAAAAATTTATATCCTTACGTAAACGACTTATATCTGATTGCGCTTGAAATAAATTTGTATTAATAGGACCATAATTATTAATATTTGATGATGTACCAGTAGAATTATTACCACCACCACTACTACTACCACCAATATTATTACCATCATTACCAATATTATTACCGGTATCTGTTCCACTACCTAAATTACTTGCGCCAGTAATATCATTATCAATATCATAATGACCATGACTAATTGATTGATTCTGTGATGACGTTGATGATGATAATAATAATAAATCATTATTATCAATAAGATTATTTTTTTGTGTTAAATCAATACCCTCTTCCAAACCATCTTTAATATGAGTTGAATTTAAAAAACCCGATATAAATTGAACATTAGTAGCTTGAGCATTTAAATTACTAACAACATCATTTAATAAATTGCTAGCCGAATTACCAATTGTACTATGACGCATTCTTAACAAATTTAATGTATCATTTGCCGCATTAGAATTATTAATAATATCATCATAATTACTTAATTGCTGTTGTTGCTGTTGTTGTTGTTGCAATTGAATATGTTGTTGTAATAATTGCTGTTGTTGATTGTGTGTTAATAATCTTGGTGATTTTGTATTACTACGTATATTTTCTAAATCTGATTCAATAATATGATAAGGATTATTATCAAAAAATGATATTTCATTACTATTACTAGTATTGACACCACCAATACCACATATATTTGATCTTAGTGCTTCATTTTTAAGTTCTTCAAGCATATGATTAAATTCATGTGCTGCAATTGGTGCTTGACCTAATTGTTCATTTTTATAATTTAATAAACGCATTTTATTTAAATTTCTTTCTAATTCATATTGTTCAAGTAATCGTTGTTGCTGTTGTTGCTGATGCTGTTGTTGATGTTGTTGTTGCTGTTGTTGTTGTTGTTGCTGTAATTGTAAATGATCAGATAAACTAACTTGATCTAATAAATCAACTGTTGTTGCTGCAGCAACAGCTGATGATGATGACGATTCAGTCATTGTATTATCATTTAATGTATGTAATAATCTTGGATGACCATATAAACCCATTAAATTAGCAACAACTGATTGTTGTTCAATTGTTATATTTTCTAATTTTTCTAATCTTGTCCACATTTTTCCATATTCACCACTTAATAAATCTAATGCACGCCATGCAAATTTTAATTCAGTTTCTAATAAACTAATACGTGTTGAAATTTTATCCATATAATCTGATATAATATAATCAGAATGTTGTTGAGCATTATATAATTGGCATAATTGTTGCTCTGATGTCATTGATGTTATATCACCACCAGTACAACTATTAATATCATTACCAATACCACTAATACTATTATTATCATTTATATTAATATTATCACAAACTGTTGTCAATAAACCACTACCACTACGATCAAATGTTGTAGATGTTGTATTTATTGATAAATTTGATTGATGTAAATGTTGATAGCGTTGCAATTGTTGTTGCTGTTGTTGCTGCTGCTGTTGATGATTATGATCTAATAAGTTATCTTGATTTGATGATGAATATGTTTTTAGAGAATTATCAATATTACTATTATACAAATCATTATTTCCTTGCATATCATTATAATTATTACGAATTGTATGTTGTTGTTGCTGCTGCTGCTGCTGTTGCTTTTGTTGTTCTTGTTGCATTTGTTTTTGGTGTTGTCGTTGTTGTTCTTTTAAATTATTTTGCTGTTGTTGTAATTGTTGAATTTTTATTTCCTGTTGTTGACTTAATAAAGAATTTGAATCTTGTGAATGAGATTTCTGTTTATGTTGTTGTTGTTGTTGTTGCAATTGCTGTTGCTGTTGTTGTTGAAGATGAATATTATCATTTATATGCTTCATTTTTGAAGAATTAATTAAATTCGTTGTTAATGATGATGATGAAGTTGCTGCTACACCACCATCACTTTCTCCGATTACTTGTCGTGACATAGCAGTTGTTACTCCTCCTCCTGGTCCTCCGGCTGCTGTTGCTGTTGTTAATAAGGATGATGACGGTGATGATGATATTATATCTGTTATCAATTATTATTTAAAATAATTGTATATATATCTGTCTTTAATTTTTTATTTTAGTGTATTTTTTTTTTGTTCTGTACATTACCTGCTTGCTGCATGCTAATTATAGGATTATTACGATTATTCTGATTAAATAATCTGGATTGCTGTTGTTCTCTTTGCTGCTGTTGTTGTTGTTGTTGTGCTAACATTTGTTGTTTATGTTGTAATTTTGGTGATCTTATTGAAGATTGAAGATGAACTGGTGACGAAGAAATTACTAACGACTTTTGTTGTTGTTGTTGTTGTTGTTGTTGTTGTAATTTTGATTGTTGTTGTTTAATTTGTAATTGTTGCAATTGTGCTAATGTTACTGAGTCAGAACTCATTATATTGGAATTTATTTTCTTCCCTTGTATTTCCAGTTTTATTTGTTAATTTATAATTTTATTCAGTTTTTAAGATTTGTAGATTTTCAATATAATTATTATATAATTAATTATTATTAATATTATTATTATTATTATTCTTTTTTGATAATTAATTAAGAATTTAAAATATGATATATAATAGTTAGAGACGAGCAAATTTGATTGAGAAATTGTTATATACAATTTATATAGAATTCTTTTTGAATTTTTAAAGTAGAGATATTTTTTATATTTTTAACTATATACACTGATAAATATATTAAGCTTTTTTATATTTTAATATTTATAAATTAATTATAAATATGTATATAGTTGTAATTGTTAATTTAAATGAGTAAGTTTTTATTTTGAGTTATTTTTTTAAAATTGTTTAAATATTCACACATGAATTTTAATTTTTTACAATGATATTTTAAAGTTAGATTGCTATTAGTTTTTAAAATTCCAGTTTTTGTGTATTTATATTAGAAATATATCATGTGAATCTTCAATGGTTTTAATATGATAAGCACAAAAAATATTAACAAACAAAAATTATTTTACTTTCTTAAAAAATGTGCGCCGCTATTGGCCCTCATTTTTCAAGTTTAATGATATGCCAAGTTTGACTATAAAGGAACTTAAAAATTGTGGGTTTAAGTGTACATACAATCCGGTTCCGAGTATGTATACAAGTAATATATTCGGGGTTCGAGTGTACGTAATATATAAGTATATTTATTATATATATGAAATTAATTAATAAATTGAGAAAAAATTTATTCTTACCTCTATAATTAAATGCAATTATAATTAATACTCCAAATTATCTTAATATTTTATATGTATATGTATGTACTTATAGGTGTTATTTACTATATTTTAATATTCAATAATGATATTTCATGTGTATGTATACACATATAGATTGAAAAGATTGAGATAAATCAAAATATATGACAGAGAAATGATTTTTTTTTTATTTTTCAATTATAATTTATATATATATATATATATATATATATATATATATATATATTATATATATATTATATATATATATATCAAATATTTTCTTATATTTTCAATAAATCTTTTATAGTTTATACTTTAATTTAATTTGGATATGTTTTTTATATTTCTTTTTAAATTTTTCAATTGATTATCTGTACCAAGTAACTTTTGTTTTGTAGATTCTATAAAAAAATTGTTTCGAAAGATAAAAGTATTAAAAACAATTTGATGACTACTTGATGAATACACGAAGATATTATGAACTCGTCAAAACGAGCTTTTAAAACCGAAAATATACGATTTAAACGAAGATGAAAACAAAATCTTTACTTATGAAGGGTATTCTTGAGGAGTATATTAACTTTGATATGAAACTTGTAGAAGACGTCTCCGGCATGAGCATGTATATATGTTCTTGCTCAGCGTAAAATTTTGCGTTGATTTAAACATGTCCGTCCGATCGCACGATTAATGATGCAATTGACACCAAACTTTCACAAGCTGTTTTTTTTTGTGCCAACGACACAAATTCGGAAAATACATTCGGGTAGCTGCCATTCAACCCAAAAAGTTTTTTTTTAAATATTTCAAAAGCTATAATCGGGAAATAAATATCATATTTTGTACAGGTGTGTCAAATCAAGTTCTTCAAATATTCTAAAAATTGGAATGGAATGGTTGCACTAATTCAGGTAGCCTACCATTCAACTCCGAAAGTTAATTTTAAATATTTACAAAAATAATAAAGATAGAATTCATAAAATTCGGCAACCGTGTGTTCAATTTTAAGTCAGATATAATCCTGAAGTTTTGGTTGAATAACTTTGATAGGTTCGAGTAACTGCTATGCAACTCCAAAAGAAAATTTTAAATATTTGGAAAAATATTAAAGTTAGATTTATGAAACTTGGCAGTCATGTATCCAATTATCGGTTAGGCATAAAAATCCATGAAATTTCTATTGAGTGGTTTAACAGATTCAAGTAATTGCCATTTAACAATGAAGGCTTATTCTAGATGTTTAAAGAAGAAATTTTTAAACTCAGATTGTCAAAGTGCAGGGTATTATTCAATCGGTCTACTTCCTCTTCGATTGTTATAGTATCTTTGATTCGATACTATTATTGCGATTGTTATTCCTGTACAAAAAATTCAGAGAATTCTATAGATGGGACATGAGAATTGGAACAGAAGACATTCAACTGAATATATATTATATAGGGTTTAGTGCATAAAGAATTTCAAGAGAACTTTGAAATTGGAATTTTTCGCCGAGTCCGCCTATTCCTATTTATTGAGTCCGTCAAAGTTGAAATGAATCTCCACATGCATTCAATTGGGAGGATTTGATGAGAATTATTTTCAGAACATAATTTGCCGAACAGCACACATATTCAAAAAAATATGTAAGATTCACTTTAGATATTGTACTTCCAGAGAATATAGCCCTGTGTGTAAAATATGTATTTGACTTCTTCGAATTGATTTTATATATTCAAGAGATTTGCTTTTATAGATATTATATGTATACATATATGTGTAAGTGTAATCGATAATGTCAAGTACCGATCATTCTACAAAAATGTTGTGATATCTGTTGACAACATTAAAAGTTAGAACGCGCTTCTCTTAACTGCAATATCGATTAAGATACAAGAAAAGAATTCAATGCACAATTTACATTATCGATAACACCTTTGAAAATATTATGAAGAGAGAAAAAAAAATTATTTTTTTTTTTAACATTACTAACTCTTATAATTCTATATTTATTATATGGAAATGTAAAAATACACGATACTTTTGTTTTTTTTTTTTATTAAAGGTAAAATTTTGAGCAAACACAAAATTTTTTATATTTAATTTTTATTTTATATTTTTATTATGGTTTTTAAGAGTATTTTGTCTTTTATTAATTCATAGTTTTAAGAGCATTTTCTCTCTTTTATAAATTATTGCACATAGTTATAGGAAAAAAAATTATTATATTAAATTATCATATGATATAGTGTTACAGTTTTAATTATGACTAAATTAAATATAAATAAAATAAATTTAATTTTCTAATAAAACAAGAAAAAAAAATTTTCCTTAAAAAAATTTATTTATAAAAATTTTTCACTTATATAGGAGAACACACACAGAAAAAATGTCTCAGTCAAATGTATGGTATATTTGTTTTTTATTAGTAGTTTATTTTAGAAAAAGTTAGAAAAAGTTTGAAAAGTTAGAAAAAAAATTTTATTATATAAATTTTTTTATAAAATATTTTTAATTTTTTTAGCACAGTTAGTATAAATGTTTTTTTTTTTTATAAAATAGAAAAATTTTTAAATTTTGTATAAAAGTTTTATGTTTTTCCTTTTATATTTTAATAAAAATCAGCTGGCAACTTTGATGATTAATTAAAAAGTAGCATTAAAAAATTAAAAAAATGAGCGTAGTTTTATTGTATTGTAATTTTTTAAAGAAAATCTTCTTATTATAATTATATAGGAATCCCAGAAATAATTTGTTTTTCAAGTATTATAGCGGCATTTTATATAAAAGTTTCGGTATATTAAATATATATTAAATGTTTAGTCTTAAAAAAGTGTAAGAACAATATTATTAAAACAATTAGTAAAAAAAAAGAAAAAATTTTTAATACAAAAAAGAAGAAAAAAAAAATTTAAAACAAATTTTTTTAGAACTTCAAAAAAATTATGAAAATTTTGTAAAAAGTTTTTGTTGTTTTTTTTTTTTTTAAATTTATTCTACAGTACAGTTGTATAATTAAAGTTCGCAGTTTTTATGTTAATTTTTTTAAGTATAGGTTTCGTTTTTATTATTTTTTAATTTTCTTTGATATTTTTGCCAAACCCCTCTGCCTGAAATCAAAATTTTAAATCAAACTTTGGATTTTTTTACAGTGAGCACAGGTAACCCTCCTTTAATGAGGTGGGGCTTTTATAACGTATAGTTTTATTACAACACGACTTGTTAAATTTCCTATAACGAGGTGGTACTCCTATACAATTTCTCATTCTTTCCACTACGAATTAAATCCGTTATAAACGAATTTGAATTCTATTTGATTTCAAAATCGCAGTGTTATAATTTCCATGTGATTTCAAAAAAACAATTCTAAATCATCTTATTTAAACATTGAAGTTAGCTGTTAATATTTTTTTTTTGTCAGAAATTTTTCAAAAGTCTATTGACCGCGCGTTATTTGGGGGGTTACCTGTATTTAAATTGAATTTTAAATATAAAAAAACCATTTCATTTCCAACTTTGAAATTTTTTCATCCATTCTAACTTTAGGGCCGGGTTCAAAGTGTAAGACTGAATCAATTGAATTCACATAAACAGTCTATGAAATTGGTAAATCGGTGATATACTGACCGGCCGTAGTTGTTTGGACGAAACAATTTTAAGTTGAAGGAGTTTTAATATTTCAGTGTTCATTGTTTTTAAATGATTGTGCACAGAGTAAACTTAATAAAAACACAAAAAAAAAAAATTAATAAATATCAATCAGAAAGACACATTCAAAAAGCAATTATATATACAGGGTTATTCAGGAACAAGTTTTTTTTTTCGACTATATTTTTGTTATTATAAAATTTCCTAAATTTGGAATTAAATTCTCTTTGTTTTTATTTTTTTGCAAAATATTAAATTCACAATATTATTTAACATAAATGTTTTGTGTCCTGATTTTGATTTACACTACCACATATACATATGTATACGGGATACAAGGATGTGCATTATACATACATATATATATATATATATATTAAATTTTTTTATTTTTATTTTTAAAAAAATTGGTCAATTGTCAGTTGGTTGTTGTTGTTGTTGTTTTTGGTGTTGTGACAATTTCGCATAGTATATACACAAACACATAACAGTTAATGAGAGAAGATATGACAGCAAACAAAAACGTACACAGGAAAAGTTTTTTACAAATTTTAAGT